CTTGAGCTGAGCCGAGCTGTTTTGCTATTGCCTAACAGATTTGGTTCCAGTTTACTGTAGTTTTTGGGCATCCTTTCGTTCTGGTAAACTGCAAGATGGTTTTTAAGAACTTGTCTGCAAGTTGAGTATGAATAATATACTTGCACCAATTTGAAGGTAGTTGTCGATTATCATATTTTATTATTTAATTATCATATTAATTTATTATTTAATTAATTATAATAATTTAATTAAAATTTTATTAAAATAATAGTTTTATATAATTAAAATTTTAATAAAATAATAATTTTTTTTAATAGATTAAAAATTTTATAAATAATTTAAATATAAAAATATAAATAATGATAAATAAAATTTTTCTTTTTTTTTTTTTTTTTCAAAATCAATAATAGTATATCTGTCAATTAAGGGAGGTATGCAAGGGAAATTCTAAGAAAGTTTGTAACAGGGAGTTGGAAAGCAATTTGTACCCTTAAAACGCAAGGATAATGGAGTAGTGAAGACAGATGCTGGTGTTTATAGGAGCTCAATAGGCTGTTTACTCTATTTGATAGCCACAATGCCCGATATCATGCTTGTTGCAAGTTTATTCTCGTGGTTCATGCAATCTCAAAATGAAAAATTTAACTGGGATGATGGATCAGTGAAGACAGATGTTGGAGTTTATTGGGGCTTGAAGTGCTGTTTGCTTTATTTGATAGCCACAAGGCCCAGTATAATGTTTGCGGCAAGTTTACTCAAGGGTCATGCAATTTCCAGGGACTCTTGATTACGGAATGCCAAGGAGGATGGTCAAGAGGTTGTTTTCTTTTATCCTTAGTCTGATGTTCAGTCCAAGGGTTAATGTGTTGAGTGAAGCTTGCTCTAGTGAAAAAGCGATTATGTTGTGTCGAGGTTACTTAAGGTTGTAACCTCTGAGTTAATTTTTCTGTGTTTTGATATGCTAGAGGCCATCATGGACAACAGCTTTTAATTTATTGATTAAGGTTTTCTAATGAAGCAAGAATCAGTTTTTGCCCCAATTTTCTCTTCTCTTCTCTTGTTGTTGATACGGCCAGCATCTGCTAATATTTTATTTAAATTATTTTTTGAATGGGCTTCTTTCTGTTACATCAATCCTTTTTCTTACATTAGCCCTCTTTCTTGTAGGACTTTACAAGGGAGCTTAAGAGGAAACGTATAGTTTCCCCCCCAAGAAAGTGAACAGGTTGAAGCAGACCACTGCTCCAAGAGTGAAGTTGTGGACCCAATTTCTCCTTCTACAGATGAAAAACAGTCTCAGGTAGGCCAGTGCGCCGAGACATCTGCGAATCACAGTGAACTTTGGGACTTAGTTTGTCCTTCATTAGGTGGCAAGCAGTCTGAGCTAAACAAGTGCAGAAAGACATCTGATAGTCCAAGTGAAGTTTTGGACCTGATTTCTTCTTCGTTACGTGGCGAGCAGTCGGAGTTAGGGCAGTGCTTCAAGACATATGTCAATGAAAGTCACCTTTTGAACTCCACTTCTTCTGTTGAAGGCAAGTGGTTTGAGGAAGGCCAGTGCTCCCAGATGTTTACTAATGAAAGTGAATATTTGAACTCAGTTTCTTCTGCTTTAGAAGGGAAGAGGTTTGAGATTGGCCAATGCTCCGAGACTTCTGTCAATCAAAGTGAGCTTATAAACTTCGTTTCTTCCTCCATGGATGGAAAGCGATTTGAGCTAGGCCAGTGCTCCAAGATGTCTGCTTATCAAAGTAAAGTTTTAAACCTCATTCTCATCCCTTTCCCCTCCTGCTAAACTCCAATTTAGCATTTTCTTTTTGCTATTTCTTTCCCAGGTGCTCTTCATTATCTAATTATTTGTAGTTATAAGTTTCTTCAATCACTTCAAACCATTTTTTCTTCATCCAATTTCCCTACAATCAAGCTTGAATTAGAAGTTGGATTTGAGTTTAGAAGTTTAGCAGTTGTGTTTTTAGTAATCTCTGAGAGTTTATTCAATCCAACCAGGAAGACATTATGCCTCCTCACTGAATTTTTGCATTTTGCTTCTGCAAATGTGAGTGGTCAAAGAAAGATTTTTTTCCTCTCAATGTTGATCTCTTAAATATGAAGTCACTGATCTCCTACGGGTCTGAATCTGGCTTCTTAAAATGCATGGGTAGATGGAGTTTTCTTTTTCTTTAGGTTTGCTTTTGGATGCTATGTTCCCTTCCAATAGAGGTTATCGGTCTGCTGCAGGTGAAAATGAGTTACGCAAGAAAACAGGCTCCGGTGGAAAAGATTCTATTATGCCAGAGGACAACTCAGGTAAAGAAGAGGAATTTATTTCAGTTCATGACTTTGATTGCCTTCGTCCTATTGGTACAATTGAACTGGTGATTCCTCAGTCTCAAAGAGAAAAGGGAAAAATGAAAATTGGAACTGGTGATAAGTCAGGCAAAAGCAGTGAGCAATCTGCTTGGCCAAAGTGTGATTCCGAAGTCAAATCTCCAGGAAACAATTCCTCTTTAAAGGGTGTCCTGAAGATTGGGAAGAAGCAGTGGAAGAAGTCTGGAAAGCAGCAGCGGAAGAAGTCCGGGAAGCAGCCGCAGAAAGAAGTCTGGGAAAAAGCAGCTGAAGAATCTGGGGAAGAAAACTTAGGTATGCTGCCCTTTAAGAAAGGTCAAGGTCATTCTATAACTGTTCTCTTTTCCGGGGTCTTAGCTCTGTTGGATTTCAGCTTTTTTAATTAGCCTCTTAATGTGCTGTTTGTACTTGGCTCCTCGTTTTTAGACTCCATAGATGGCGATCGATCAAACCATTAGTACTATTGTCGCCATGGTTGACTTGCTGTCTGATTTTGTTGCCTGAGCTCAACATGGATTTATTGTGGTATGGTGATTCTTGCCATGAGATGATGAGTTCTGGGCCTCCTGTTGTCGACTCAAAATGGACATTGTGGCTCTCTTTTTCTGAGTTATTTTGTTTCTCCACTTTTCACGAAAAAAATAACAGACATCCTTCCTAAAACATCTTTTTCATATGATAGAATTCTAAAATTACAAACTTTATCTATTTTTATTAAATGAAATTAAAGTTTTTTTGTCTTTAGTCGAAACAAAATTTGTGTTTCTACTTACTAGTTTTTTAGGTGATATTAAATCGTAAATTTATTATATTTTTAGTTCAATCGAAATTACTAAATTATCTCTTTTTTAATTTATTGGTGAACCGGTGTTGGTTTTCCTTTTTTTAGGTCTTCTTTTTAAGTTTACTGTTTTGACTTTTAACTTTGCTTTTTAATAAAACAAATCTCAGTTGTTTTTCTCCTTTCTTTTCTCAGTATGAATTACATTTTATCTGTCTTATCTTTTATTCTTCATAAACTCCGTTTATATTTTTCGTTAAACAAAAGAAAATTTGTTTTTTTATGAAAAAAGGAAAGATAACTCCCATCTCATATTTCCTTTTACCCATAGAAAGCTCTACGATTCGTAAAAGAAGTGTTAAAGTTCTCTTGACGCAAAGAAATCAGAGGACGTTACCAGCCAGACAGGATATGTGTTTATTTGTGCGCGTAGGCCTGCCCCCAAGAACAAAACACTCTACATATTTTATTGAATTATATAAGCATTTTTATTGGGTATTTCTTTCACAGGAAAATTAAACTACATGAATTTAATATAGAAAAGTATTTTGAATTATTAGTACTATGTGAGAGAGAGAGCACTAGTTTTCCTCGTATACAATAATTAGTGCTTTGAAATCCTGCCTCATGGTGCAAGCTAAAACGACCCTCTCCTGTGGGATAGCTCAAAGAGGAAAGGCCGGTCTTTTCCCCTGCATCCAGGAACCAGAAGCCTTGTGTAGAGCAGCAATTTCCCATCTAATACTGCATCATATGAAGAGGCTCAATAATCTGGTAGCAGCCCAGCTCCCCCATCGCATTTCTGCTTTTTTAACCATAATTTAAAATTCAAGTTTACAATCTTATAAATAATTAATTATTAGAAAATAATCAAATTTATTATTTATATTCTAATAGAAGCCACTGAAGGATGACAAATGCATCTCAGAAACCAACCACTCTCATTTTCTGTACTTGCAAGCTGATGGAACACTTGGACCAGAATGTTGTAACAATTTAATAGAAATCCTTGGAAGAACATCCATGGCTGGCATTAAAATATGTTTTGTGGAGTAATTTTGATGTTTTAGCAAGCTCCTGCTCTTCAATTCCTTCCCCCCAAAAATCCATTTGCACCAAAAAAGCAGAGTGGCCCAAAGAGTCACTAGATGCACACCTGAAATGCAAGTGAAAAGAAACCCATTCCTCACATAATTTGGTAGTGAAAGACGTAACTAGCTATTTGTATATTATGTTCCTTAGAATTGTTTGACGTGACCAGAGGACAAGAATTTCCTTTTGATTTACCGTATTAGCTGATGTCCATCATTTTTATTTTATCGCCAACCTCAAGGGTCAATGATCTTCCGGCTTCTCAGTAAGGAAAATAAACCTCAAAGGTCAATGATCTTCTGGCTTCTCAGTAAGGAAAATAAACATTTACACCAATAAACAACCTTCACATACTAGGTAGCACAAGTTCATGAATATCAATGTTAACATGGTAAACAATTTTGCAGGACAAGGGATCTTTCATCTCTTAAAGAGCAACGATAAGCAGAAGTTTTACTCCCAAAAAATTTGGTCAGTACACAAATCTAATCAACAAAGAGGTTAAATAAAACAAAGGATGCCAAGCTCCATAAGGGCACACTTTCAAGTTCACTATGTGACTTATTTTTATTATCATTCTGGATAAGATAATTTAGCCATAAAAATACCAAACTCCTTCAGTCTCTCTAAGAAGATTCTTTCCAGCCACCGTAGCTGTCCTCCTCCTGGCCATACGATCGTTCATTGCTGTAATCCTGCAGCAAAGGACATGTGAGCCCCCAGAGGCATACAACTGTGAGAAGTCTGGATGGTTATACATGAAAAAGAGCAAGTTTTTCTCTTTTTACTCTCCTTTTTTTTTGTGCTTCCTTGGCTCGGATATAATATTTTTAAATATGCTTTGAAAGTGACTGATTGCAGAAATTATGAACTGCATATTCTGCCATTTTTTGCTTCACAATTAGATTCTTAACTATTTTTTCTGTTTCATCCCTTCTATCTGCTATATTTGTAGGACTATATCCCAATGTTAGGCTACTATAGACTAGAAAAGGTACCTCTGGGGTGAAACTGAGGCCAACTCGAATCTCTCCACGGTATTCTTGGTCCTTGACAACATTGTACGCTGTTGATGGGAAATTTCCTTCCATGAACACAGGCTCTAAAGGAATGCTGCAAGGATGATATTAACATGACATGAGACAACCTTGCAGGCATGCATTAGAGATGCAACGACATTAATACACAGTAGATAACATCTGAAATATCAATATCAAATTGCTTGTGTGCATAGTCCCATGTTAACATCAATACCAACCAATTCACGTGTATTCTTATGTTCCTTTACCCTGCCTAAAGAAATGATAAAGCAGCAATGACATAACAGCAAGAGAATATCCAAAGATGTTTGGTTAGTACGTGCAAACTAAAGGGGAGTTAACTCACTTGACTTCTCCAAGAAAATCATCTGCAGTAAAAGTATCTTTATCCATTATCTTCAAATTGAGCTCTGTGGTTCCCTCAGAGATTGTGAAAATGAAAGTCTCATTCCATTGTGGTTCTTCTCCTGCATCCACAATTTCAGTTGCGTTTCAATAAGAGGAACCTGATAGTTCCTTCAGTCCACTAATATTACTAGTTGTGCGCTACCAGATCAGAATTATGAACGAATTACAATCAATGATCAAAACAATACAATTTGTGGAGGTAAGGAAATCAATGGACCTGAAACGATGCTGCTCTTTTGCTCCTGAGTCCGACAAGTGAGAATGACATATGGATCAACGCTACCTGCTCATACAATTTAACACATCAATCAAAATGGCTTAACTTATACAATGGTACATGTCCTTTCATTCATACTTTACATGCCAGAACTTAAACAACCTAAGGGGCAATTTGATTTGACTAATTTTTTCAGCTACAAAGAAGTTGAGCCTTCATAAGCTTCACATAATTAGTGACAATCTGGTACCAAAAAATAAGCTGAAAACTATACAAAATAACTGAAAATGAAAAATATAATTTCTAAGAAAAACATTTTGTAAAAAAAATAAAAGAAAAAACAAACAAACAAACAAACAAAATAAGCATGGGTTATAAGCTAAAGAAATAGAATTATTTTTTAAGCTTTTTATTTTGACTTACAAGTTAATAAGTCAAAATACACAAAACGAACACCCTTATGGCTTCCTTTGTAAGCTAACTTTAAGAAAATAAATAAACAAACAAACAAACCAAACACTGCCTAAATTCCTCACAAGAATCCGGCAACACATTTTTCCAGTTATTGGCTGATTCCAAGTGCAAATGTAAATTAGGCTTGTCGATCTCATGTGTCTTTATCTCTCCGTGTAATTATTGCAGCTAGCATCATTCAAATCTATCAAGGTAGCTCATATATGCACGAAACTACAAGCAA